AGTTGCTGCAGATTTGTCGGCTAAACATGCATAATGCGAGTCTCCCATTCCACCACATGCCAAGGGTGCTCTATTGGATTGAGATCTGCTGACTGTGGAGTCCATTTGAGTATAGTTAAAGAAACCCAATCTGAGATGATTCTTGTTTATTCGCCTATTATCCTGCTGGAAGTAGCCATCAGAAGATGGGTACACTGTGGTCATAAAGGGATGAAACAGCAACAATACTTAGGTAGACTGTGGCATTGACATGATGCTCAATTGGTACTATTGGGCCCAAAGTGTTTCAAGAAAATATCCCCCACAGCATTACACCACCACCACCAGCCTAACCCGTTGATACAAGGCAGGATGGATCTATGCTTTCATGTGGTTGACGCCAAATTCTGACCCCACCATCCGAATGCTACAGCAGAAATCAAGATTAATCAGACCAGGCAACATTTGCCCAATCTTCTATTGTCCAATTTTAGTGAGCCTTTGCAAATCGTAGCCTCAGTTTCCTGTTCTTAGCTGACAAGAGTGGCACCCGGTGTGGTCTTCTGCTGCTGTAGCCCATCTGTCTCAAGGTTGGACATGTTGTGCATTCAGAGATGCTCTTCTGCATACCTTGGTTGTAACGAGTGGTTATTTGAGTTACTGTTGCCTTTCTATCAGCTGGAACCAGTCTGGCCATTCTCCTCTGATCTTTGTCATCAACAAGGCATTTGCGCCCACAGAACTGCCGCTCACTGGATATTTACCTTTTGGACCATTCTCTGTAAACCCTAGAGATGGTTGTGTGTGAAAATCACAGTAGATCAGTAGTTTCTGAAATACTCAGTCCAGTCCGTCTGACACCAACAACCACACCACATTCAGTCACTTAAATCACCTTTCTTCTCTATTCTGATGCTTGTTTTGAACTGCGGCAGATTGTTTTGACCATGTCTACATGCCTAAATGCACTGAGTTGCTGTCATGTGATTGGCTGATTAGAAATATGCGTTAACGAGCAGTAGGACAGGTGTACCTAATAAAGTGTATAGAGTGTATAGAGTATATCTGAGACATCTTTATGTGCAAATCGCATTTACAAGCAAAATGAAGGTAGCCATCTTAAATATTCTCTATTTACCTCCATGCATCAGATATTGGTCTATATCATTCATTTGGATTTAAAATAAAGCTGGAAGCACAGATAGTCACTTACAGATGTAGCAGATGCTTTTATGTAAAGGAACTTACAAATGGAAAACATGTCAATAATCTCTTTTGTGACTCACACCTATACATGTTTATTTCCTCTAGTGTTTTATTCCTGAGAGTTCAGATTCACTAATTACAATAATCTTCTGACCTCACACACACAGAACCAGATACCAGCCATTTCTTCACTGTGATGTTTCCCTGATGGATAAATTTGACACAAGATCGGCCTTAGTGACGACAGTCCATCTATGGTGGTTGTCATGGTTACATAGAAAGCCATCAATTAAGAAGCGGAACATGTCTGTGGCACTGTATTATCTCCCCTGTGCTAATAGACGAGGGCAAGCATTATGGATCAAAGTTGCAAAAGGTAATTATTATTTTCAGTTCGGCAAGTGAAAATGTATCTCTAAATGTCAGAGGTAAGATAGACTTCTATATTATGCTCTTAAAGGTGAACTGCTGAGGACTGTTAGTCTTTGTAGTGCATTTTTCTTTGAAAATTCTAACAAACATAAAGGTTTTTGAATCAAAGATCCTGACAATAAATATATTTACACAGATTCCACAGTGTATGGGTGTTTGCAGTTTTTTAGAAGTGTTTGTTCTGAAAGTAGTTTTGCTTTTTCCCCCTCCTATAGGAATTTTTGAAAAAGATTAGGGTTAGGGTTCAAACTTCATGCATGATGAATCAGCGTAAAATATCATTACCTGCTAAACTTTAATCAAGGTTTAACCGTAGTTTTGAACTACTTTTATAAAAAATAAAAAAAATAAAAAAATAAACAAAACCATGTTTCCTTAAAGAGAATCCTAAAAGTAATTTCATTCTTAATAACTCAAAATGTGGTATCAAATTAGAAAATAAAACAAGTAGCCAAATTACTTTACTATTTGTTACAATCATGCATGTAAACCCTGCCTATACATTTTTAAATGACTTTTTTTTTTTTAAATTACAATTTCTAAGAAGAACTACTCAATTACAGTAATTTGAATATTTGTAATTTGTTACTTTACTCCACTGCACCTCGCTGAAGATTCAACCCCCCTCCTTTTCATTTTGTTAGGTACCTTCAGGCCAGAAACTATGTCCATTGAAATATAAACTCTTCAAATGCTATAAGGGTCTAACCTCTTTAAAAACAGAACAGATTGTGATAGTCACTTGGGAAGAAGACTTAGGGGTTTTAATCTCTGAGACTGGTTGGGTTCAATACCTTTTATCTGTTTATTCATGTTCTATAAATTCTAGACACAACTTTATTAAGTACAAAGTATTACACTTCACTATTCTAAAAAAGAGCTTAGTAAATTATATCCCTCGGTTTCCCCCACATGCGCCAAATGTTAAGCTGCCCAGGATACCTTAGCAAATCTTTTTTGGGCGTGCGTTCAAATTCAGAGTTTTGGGTTAGAAAAAATTCAGTTCTTTCTTAGGGTTTATGTTTGTGTTTTGCTGCCTGACCCAATGATAGCAATTTTTGGCTGGTCAGATTTTTTGGAGACTCTCAACTAAAATGTACAGTTACCTGTTCAGCATGACACGATCATAGCTTAAAAAAATAAATAAATAAAAACTTACCCAGATAGCAAAATTCATGTGGCTTAAATCCAGCCCACACCAAACACTTACATCCGGCCCACATACCGCATAGAATGATGACACTGTTTGCCAGATCTGGGCCACAATTTAGCCATAGCAATACCACATATCAGCCAGAATTCAACCAAATGAACCAGAACTGACCCTAATCTGGAACACAGTCATATCACATCGGGGCCACTTTAGGCTCACAGTCACATTAGCTAGAACTTACTTTGCCAAATATTTGCCAAAAGTGTCCCACATATTCTTAATACCTGGGTCACATTTGCACCTAAACATGTGAGCTACTTTGGGTTTAGATCTAGATTACCCTCAAATGACTATACCATATTTTAGCCAACTGTCATTTGGGCCAAATTGATTCCACATGGGCCACATTAGGTTCACATACAGATTACATTTTGCTATAAGTGCCAAATCCTTGCCTTAAATGGCCCATATATGAATTGGAAACTTTGGCACACTTTTGCCATTGTACAAGTGGGCCACTTGAGGCTCACGTTCATTTCGTCAAGGCCAAAAGACGACCAGACTGTCTAAAGTGGCCCACATTTGTATGCTGTCTGGGTATCCTTTGTTTCTGGAAAAAAAAATGTTAGGCCTCTTTTTTTCTGACTGGCTTCTTGGACTCAACTCCATTTTACATTTTACATCTGGGAGCTCTGTAAAATTTGAGAAAATGTGGGACCCAGTTTTTCACCGTAACGACTAATAGTGTTGTTTAATTTCTGAATATTTGTTGGGTTTTTTCTCCCTTGTAGGTCATAGTCTTGTATGTCGCCATTGTCTCCTTTCATGTTTTATTTTACATTTTGCACAGATTATCGTTTCATGATGGGTTTGTCTGTCTGTTCTTTGTTTTTCTATGTCTACAAAAACTAAACTATTATATAATTATTAAATAAATAAAATAAAACATGGTTCCATTAAGGGTAAGAATGCAGTTCTTAAACCATCTTTAAAAATAGCTACAGAAAATAACATAGAGAGATTTGGTTATGCGTTATGTATAATGTTATGAAAACACTTTGACATCTAATAGCATGCGTGTCACACAGGTCTAAGAAAGAATAAAGATAATAAGGCCTTGCCTACATATGCATAACTACAAATATCAACAAGACTTGCATGCTAACATTAGGAATAAGCTTACAAAGGAAGTTTTTTTTAAGATCAACTAAATCAACAGGTGCAAACTGTTATATCATTTTACATGTCATTAGCCTACTGCAATGCATAGGTTTTCTCCGTTTGACAAAAGCCCAACCAGATGAACGGAGAGCTACAGTACGTGAGCAGGATTGAACGTGCTCTGGAACTCCCACGCGCCTCTGACCGTTCATTCAGCACCACAGCAACTGAACAGCGACCGCGGAGCGTGCACGCGCTGACAACGGAGATGAGGACTGTTTCTATTTAGCCGTGTAACAGTCCTACTGACAGTGCACGCTTTTTATATTTATGCAAGCAATATCATTTGGATGCCTCGCGTGTTTATGTGGATGCCTTGTTCTTACTGTTGGAGCACACGCTATAACGGAACGTCAAATGTGATGTGATCGACAACAACAAATCGTCGTTTAACACTCCTTCGCACGGATTCTCCTCTGTCGTGAATCATGTATTACTTTGAGATTGTTTGCTGTTCCGAAAGCGCAAACATCAGTCGGGAAAAACAGAATCGCGACCACCTCTTATCGAGGCGAGCCGTCCGCCACACCTGACTGTTTTTGCTCTGCCTCCGCTTGTGACATGAAAACTCGGACCAGAAAGAAACGTATGAAAGGGCGAAGAGCTGCAAAAGGTCATGCGGGTTTGAAAGGAAAAGTATCAGATTGAAGTTGAAGACAAAAACAATCTTAAAGTGCAACCGCGAGTGACAATCAAAGGCATGGGGACAGCAAAGATGAAGAGATGGTCGGAGGTCTTGCAACCTGTTGTTGAGTTACCAGTCAGCGGCTTGATAAGATGTGGATCATAAAATGGCAATTGATCTGGAAAAAAACACGTGCTTTTGAATGACACTTGTTTATTTATTTTCTTTTCAGTAGCCTGCATTAAGCCTATTAATTTAAGAGTAACTGTTTGGCGCATTGACTGGACATGAGATTTTACTGATGCGTTTTTCGTCAATATAAAATATCTTCATATAAAATCACTCTTGTTTGGTTGTTCATCCTGATTCTGACAACGTCCAGCAATGGGCTGCCTTCAGAGCGTCGCCTGCAAGCCCCGAATCAAGCGCGAGAACATAGTTGTTTACGACGTGTCTGCTACTATTGACCATTGTCCGACAGTAATCGAGGAGAATTCACCAATAGTGCTCCGCTACAAAACTCCGTACTTCAAGGCCTCCGCCCGGATAGTAATGCCGCCGATTCCTCGAAACGAGACTTGGGTGGTGGGCTGGATTCAAGCGTGCACTCAGATGGAATTCTACAACACTTATGGAGACCTCGGCATGTAAGCTTGATTCATGTCATTATTCAGTGTCTTTGCCTTCAACCAAAGACACATTTCCAGCTAAATTTGATAAATGAAATGATTTATAAGCAATTATCAACTTAAATAAAGTCACCTGCCAAAAATTCACAAACACACTAGGTTATCTTTCAACCTGTCAAGTTTTTAAAAAACAATTAGCCAGGTTGTTAATAAAACTTCAAGTTGCATAAATATCAACGATAGCCTGCTAAATACTTGTACGCTGAATACAAGCAAGTAATTTGAATCATGATTCATACATTTTACATAAAGTTACAAAGTTTTACTAGAACAAAACCTGCCATTTTCTACACCACTAATAAGACCATGGCATGTTCTAACACTCTCACTGCACTTGCTCTTCACCAAAACAACATTAATATGCAGGAATTGGCAGCATTTATGATTTAAGTATTTTAAATGCAAAATTGTATTTTGTAATCAGTATTTTAAAGAGTTTATGAAAATGGCTCAACATTTTGTATCAATACTTAAGGATCTTGTATTTTTAAAATATTTTGTAAGAAGTCTATTTGATGACATCATAAAAATGCGGACTCAGATTGATGCTTTCTCAGTTTTTTTTAATCTAGTCTTGAGATCAGAACAGAACATTGCTTAAGAAGGTAGTCAATGCTCGAAGTCATGCATCTTTGCTTAAGAAATGAGATGGAAAAAAATATCATTCCTTAAGAACAGGATGGGGAGCCTTCAGCACATGATCATTTTCTGTCTCAGTGCTGCAGCTGGAAATTCAGATGAACTTTATTAAACAGCTAAAGATGTTGTACTGGTGTTCACTAAGAGGGTAAACTGAGACTCCTCCAGTTAAAGAACTGAAAAAACCTTGGGAGAATGAGTAAACTGCACATATAATAGCAGTTTTGGGTGAATTGCTGATGTATATGCTGAGAAAATATAAGAGAAACAACATACAAACAAGTCCTACAGTGACTGACTTAAACTTGCCCAGAAAAGCTGTTGCTATCAAACATTGTTTACCAAGTCAGTTTAATAGTGAAAGGATTGATTGAATAAGCCTATTGATTTAAAGTTTTGTGAAGAAATGTCCCATGCAAAAGTATTTTGTATTATTTTCAAAATACAAAACACAATATTTTTTTCATAGTTGATGTGGCTGCTGTGTTTTGTAGTTTATTGTAATACCAAATACCTCAATTTTAAGCTTATATTATTTTAAAATACATGTTCCATGAAGAACTTTAACCATATGGAACATTTTTGTTCAACAAGAGGTTCATCAAAGTAAAGGGTTCTTTAGATTGTTCCTACATTTAGAAAAGAAATGGTTCCTTTAAGAACTTTTCACTAAAAGTTTTTCTGAGAAAACAAAAATTGGTTCTATATGGTATCTATGGCTTAAGAAATCTACTAAAACACTTGAATGTTATAACTTGCATGTTGTAAGAGCAACAAATAATAGCTTGACTTTAAGTTGATTATTTGTAAAAGTGGCAGAATGTAGATTTTTGTGATTATCTGTTGAACAGCATCCCAATCATCACTGCAATACTGCAAAAGATAGAATACACATGAACCCAAGATTCTCAAAGAAATCAATCAAGTTTGGTGAAGTAAAAATCATGGTTTGGGGTTACATTCAGCATAGGGCGTGCAAGAGATCTGCAGAGTGGATGTGAACATTAACAGCCTGAGGTGTCAATAGATTTGTGCTGCCCATAACATTAAAAACCAAAGGAGAGGGCAAAATCTTCAGCAGGATAGTGCTCCTTCTCATTCTTCAGCCTCCACATCAAAGTTCCTGAGAGCAAAGAAGGTCAAAGTGTTCCAGGATTGGCCAGCCCAGTCACCAGACATGAACATTATTGACCATGACTGGGGTAAGATGATGGAGGAGATATTGAAGATGAATTCAAAGAATCTTGATAAACTTTTGAAGTCCTGCAAGAACGCTTTCTTTGCCATTCCAGACTTTAAGTTTTTTGAGTCATTGCAGAGATGTATGGACGCAGTAGTCCAAGCTCATGGGAGTCTAAACTGTACATTACTTCTGTTAAGTGTAAAGACTTTTGTATAAGTCTTACTGTCCTAATTAAATAATTAGAAATCAAGGCACGATCATATTATATTTTGGTATAATAAGCTAATGTCGAGGCCTTTCATATAAGCCACTTTCCAATGCCAAATGATCAACTGGAAGTCAAGTTAATATTTGCTGTTCCTAAAACTTGGATGGGCAACAAGACTCTTGTCAGGTAGTGTATATACACACACAAACATACAACAGTCTTTTTGATAGTAAGCTTAATTTAAATTATTTTAAAACTACTATTTTTAAAAATATTTCTTTAAATCCGTTGAATTTGTTATGTCATCAGAATGAACAGTCTATAAGTAGAGCTATAATCGATATGCATGACTTCAATGTAATCAAGACCTTAAAGTGTGTGCAGCACAGGATAACTTGAGTGCAGTGCACCAGTGATTTATATTCACAGAGAGTATGCATACATCAGCTCAGTGCCTGAGGGGAGGAGTGTTTGCACCTTCATCAGTCACTGCTTTCATTTATACTCCCACAAATGAGTTTCACAGCCTGTCACTGGATCAGACGTGGAGAGGCGGATAAAAACAGAATAGCTGCTCTGAAACATCAGTGTGGTTATGCTAAACAGAGTTTCGTTTTACAGGCAAATGCAATTAAGTGCTCGCTGCTTAATCTACAAATAAATCCAGCGCAGGAGAACGAGAGATGGAGACATTCTCACACCCACCCACCAGCCCTGTGACTCGTGACGTGGGCCCTTTGGATGCTACTTGGGGGGGCCTGTTTGTGTGGAGGTGTGGACATGTGTGTGGGGGAGTGCATCACTGCCTGAGCGGGTGGTTGCGTGGGGTTTTCTGTGACACAGATGGTGCTGTACTGAAGAAGAAATGCCAGCGTCGGGTCATACCTAACAACACCCAGCCACATTAACGTCCTCTCACACTGAGTCATTTTAAACTGGCAGCTGGGACCCTGATAATGAATGCCATCATTAACCCCAATTATCATCTGCACTATTGGACTCAGCATCTCCTTTCTATTATACATTCAACAGCGTAGTTTGTTTGCTTGTCATGTTTTGTTGCAGGTCAAACTGATGGACATTGGTTAGCGTGCAATTTGCCAAAACAAGCAATATAAAACAAACTATTGTACTTTTCATACTAATCAATGATGAAAATGAAAATTTATTATATATTATAGATTACACTACCTGACAAAAGTCTTGTCCTCAATCTGAGTTCTAAGAGCAACAAATAATTTTGACTTCTAGTTGATCATTTGGAAAAGTGGCAGAAGGTCGATTTTTCTGATGAATCATCTGTTGAACTGCATCCCAATCATCACAAATACTGCAGAAGACCTTCTGGAACACGCATGGGCCCAAGAATCTCACAGAACAACAAAGTTTGGTGAGGGAAAAATCATGGTTTAGAGTTGCATTCAGTATGGGGGCATGCAAGAGACTTGCAGAGGGGATGTGAACATCAACAGCCTGAGGTATCAAAACATTTACATTACAAACCACAGGAGAGGGCAAAATCTTCAGCAGGATAGCGCTCCTTCTCATACTTCAGCCTCCACATCAAAGTTCCTGAAAGCAAAGAAGGTCAAGGTGCTCCAGGATTGGCCAGCCCCAGTTACCAGACATGAACATTATTGAGCATGTCTATTGAGCATGTCTGGGGTAAGATGGAGGAGGCATTGAAGAGGAATCTAAATAATCTTGATGAACTCTGGGAGTCCATCCGTTTCAGATGGCTTTATTAATAAGTGATTTGAGTCATTGTAGAGATGTATGGATGCAAAGCTCATGGGAGTCATACACAATAATAATTCTTTTTCCCATGCAGCATGACTTTATAATCTAAATACTGTACATTATTTCTGTTAAGGGACAAGATGTTTGTCTAAACAAAGTCAGATCTTACTGTCTTAATTAAAAAATTAAAAATTAAGGCATGATCATATTTTATTTTGGTAAAATAAGCATAACCTGAGGCTTGCATTTCATATTAGCCACTTCTGATACCAAATGATCAACTAGAAGTCAAGTTATTATTTGTTGTTCCTAAAACCTGGTTAGGCGACAAGACTTTTGTCAGCTAGTGTATATTATATTACATTGGGGTCACAAAAATTGATTTTTTTTTTGTCATGGCCACGTACTGCAATTATTGTGTGAAAAACACTATTAGTTCTCAAATTTAGTGACAATATTTTATTTCACACTTTTTGTTATGCTACTTGTAGTGCACACTGAGGACCAAATAACTAATAATTTGTACTTCTGCCTTTTTGTCACGCCTCGTCCCCTGTCAAACCCTTTGACAGGAAATGGGTTTCTCACACTTCATTTACTGCTGCAACCGTCTAGTAAGTGAAGGTCTAAAAATATACAAAATTGGTCGATTTTCAGAAGTTATCATGCATTGTGTTTTACATTTTAGTATCTGACTATCCTAAATATTTTATCTATATTTAAATGAATATATACTGCAGCATTTATTATTTAAAGTGTTGATTTTGGGCAAACAGCCTTGAAACCAATAGGTGATTTTTTTACCAACACAGAAGTAATATAAAATATTTTATTTTTTATAAACTTTCTAAACCACATTTATGGTAATAATAACAATAATAATAATTCTTTACATTTATATAGTGCTTTTCTGGACATTCAAAGCGCTGTACACTTTTTTTTTTTTCTCATCCACTACCAGTCTGCAGCATCCTGAATGACACGACAGCAGCCATATTGCACCAGACCACACACCGGCTGATTGGTGAGGAGGAGACAGAGTTCATTCATTCATTTTCTTTTCAGGTTAGTCCCTTTATTAACCTGAGGTCACCACAATGGAATGAACCGCCAACTCAGGCCACATCTGCTCCACCACAGTCACACTCAACATTGGTGTACCACAGGGCTGTGTGCTGAGCCCCTTCCTCTACTCCCTTTTTTTACCATCGACTGTAGGCCTGTGAACAGATCCAACACCATTATCAAATTAGCTGATGACACCAAAGTGATTGCCCTAATCAGCAATAACGATGAGATGGCTTACAGAGAGGAGATACAGCATCTGGCCACTTGGTGCACAGACAATAATCTGCTCCTTAACACCAACAAGATCAAGGAGCTCATTGTGGACTTCAGGAAGGGACGAACAGGCTCACATGATCCCATCCACATCAATGGGATGGCCGTTGAGCCTGTCTCATCCTTCAAGTTCCAAGGGACCCACATCTCAAAGAACCTTTCTTGGATCACCAACACCTCCAGCCTGGTCCAGAAGGCTCACCAGAGTCTATTTTTCTTATGGCAACTTAAGAAAAACCAGCTTTCATTAGCCGTCTTGGTGAACTTCTACCGCTGCACAATAGAAAGCATCCTGACCGACTGCGTCACAGTCTGGTATGGAAGCTGCTCTGTTGCCGAGCGTAAGGCACTGCAGCGGGTGATGAAAACTGCCCAACGCATCACAGGGACCACACTGCCAGCCATAGAGGACATCCAGAAGAAACACTGTCTGCGCCGAGCACGCAGTATTCTTAGAGACACCTCTCACCCTGCTCACAGACTGTTTTCACTCCTGCCTTCTGGCAGGCGCTTCAGGCTCCCCCGGGCAAAAACCAGCAGACTGAGGAACAGCTTTTTCCCCAGAGCTGTCTCCCTTTTCAACTCTGCCCATCAGTGATTCTTTTGCTGCCATCTCTGTTCATAGCTAGTACATCCATCTGTAAATATCGCCATAATTTTTCTATAACTGCACTTTATAATTTATACCCGTGTCCTGCATTTGCACTGCTGGTTAGACCTAAACTGCATTTCGTTGCATTGTACTTGTGTAATGACAATAAATTTAAATCTAATCATCTAATCTAATCTTATCCAGCATATGTTTTTACGCAGTGGATGCCCTTCCAGCCGCAACCGATCACTGGGAAACATCCATACACACTCATACACTACGGTCAATTTTAGCATATCGAATTCACCTGTAGCACGTCTTTGGACTTGTGAGGGAAAGCTGAGCACCCAGGGGAAACCCACATGGACACAGAGAGAACATGCAAACTCCACATAGAAATGCCAAATGACCCAGCCAAGGCTCGAACCAGTGACCTTGTTGTAAGGCAATCGTAGGAGAAAGTGATGAAGCCAATTATGATATTGGGATGGTTAGGAGGCCGTAATGGACAGGTCAGCAGGCAAACTTTGCCAGGATGCTGGGGTTAAACCCTATACTCTTTTGTTTAAAGACATCCTGGGATTTTTAAATGATGCCAGAGTCAAGACCTTGGTTTAATTTAATCCAAAAGACGTTAAAACTTCACATATAATAATGACTGTGCTATATGAGAAATACTTCCATAATCCTAAGCAGAAATATTTAGTTTAACACGCATTTCAAGAACAAGAATGAATTCAGAAGTGGGCCAAAATTAACATCTAAACCTTCATTCCCACAGGTCAAGTTGGGAGCTGCCAGAGTTACGAGAAGGACTAGTGAAGGCTATCAGCGACTCCGATGGCTTGAGTTACCCCTGGTACGGAAACACAACGGAAACTGTGACCCTGTCTGGACCCACATCCAAACCCTCACGCTTCACTGTCAGCATGAATGATAACTTCTACCCCAGCGTAACATGGGCCGTCCCGGTCAGCGAGAGCAATGTGCCTTTGCTCACACGGATCAAACGTGACCAAAGCTTCACCACATGGCTGGTGGCTTTGAATGTGACTACACAGGAGAAGATCCTCCTGCAGACAGTAAAGTGGAGGATGAAAGTGGACATTGCTGTGGATCCATCAAAGCCGCTCAGCTCTCGAGCAAGACTCATCGGCCGGGTGCACCAGGATCAGCCCAAAGTGTTGACCCATATGGAGCAGATTCCTCCTAACGCTCTGGGTAAACCCAACGCTAATGATGCCCAAGTGCTAATGTGGAGACCTAAGAGAGGACCACCACTTGTGGTGATCCCCTCCAAGTAGCAGGCTGTCAAAATATTCAATTTGCCTTAAATCCACACTGCTGCCTTTGAAGACATTTGGTTCTGAATCGCCCTAAAGACACTTAAAGGAACAGCTTATAAACAAAAGGACAATTCTGCATGCTTAACCCAAGTCTCCTGCATTTCAAACCTTTATGTCTTTCTAGTGACAGGTGCTGCAAAACGTTTGCAAATCATTTGTTTTGAATGTGTTTCAGAACTTTGCTTCTATCACACTTTTCTCTTTCCAGTCTGGATTCTAACCCAACCCAACAGCGTTTGGTGAAGGCTATCAGAGCAGAAAGGAAAGCGGTTCCTCTTTCGGTTTTGTTGTTGCCCTTTACCCTACATTGAGTTTATTTTACAATTAAAGATTGAAAGATCAGAAAAAGTGCATCCATAGCCCTGCCCAAAGACCCTCCCTTTAGAGAAAGCAGGAAGTAGTCCAAAGTGGACACAGGAGATGCAATAAAATACCAGGTGTAAACAGAAATCTGTCACCTCAACCTAAAAACATATCAGTCATGTGACTTCAGCAAACAAAACTGTTTAAAAATGTCAATGGTTTGCTGCCAGAACACAAGGCTGTGAACCTGTAATAGGAAGACTAGTATTCAACAGTCTCTTAATAACCTGTTTAGCCAAGTCGGAACAAGTTGGAACAATGATAGTCTGGGTGAACAATCCCTTTCGCCTTAAAACCTCAGACTTAAGAATTAAAAAAAATTATGTGCACTACTTGACAAAAGTCTTGCCATCAATGCTAGTGGTAAGAGCAGCAAATAAGAACTTGACTTCAAGTTGAGCATTTGGAAAAATTGCAGAAGGTAGATTTTTCAGATGAATCATCTGTTAAACAGCATCCAAATCATCACAAATACTGCAGATGGAACCTGCATGGATTCCATCTGCAGGATTCTGATTCTGAGAGAAAACAGTCAAGTTTGGTGAAGGAAAAATCATGGTTTGGGGTTACATTCAGTATGGGAGCGTGCCTGTGAACATTAACAGCCTGAGGTATCAAGACATTTGTGCTGCCCATTACATTACAAACCACAGGAGAGGGCAATTTCTTCAGCAGGATAGTGCTCCTTTATATACTTATTTATATACTTTAGCCTCCACAAAGTTCCTGAAAGCAAAGAAGGTCAAGGTGCTCCAGGATCGGCCAGCCCAGTTACCAGACATGAACATTACTGAGCATGTCTTGGGTAAGATGGAGGCATTGAAGATGAATCTAAAGAATCTAGATGAACTCTGGGAGTTCAGCAAGAATATGTTTCTTGCCATTCCAGACATTAATAATAAGTTATTTGAGTCACTGCAGAGATGTATGGATGCAGTCGTCAAAGCTCATGGGAGTCAAACACAATATTAATTCTTGCACTTTGACTTTATATTCTATACTGAACATTGTTTCTGTTAAGTAAAGAGACTTTTGTTTATGCAAAGTCAGACCTATTGTCCTAACTAAATAATTAAAAATCAAGACATGATCATAGTTTATTTTGGTAAAATAAGCCTAATGTAAAGGCTTTTGCCTTTCATATAAGACACTTCGGATAACAAATGATCAACTAAAAATCAAGTTATTATTTGTGGTTTCTAAAACTTGGATAGACTTTTTTCAGGTAGTGTATACAGACATTTGCAAAACACAAAGGGACACTCAAACCAAAAATGGACATTGTAATAATTTACTAATCTGAAGATTGTTCCAAACCTCTATGCCTTTCTTTACGTCTGTGGAAAATAGAATTTCTTGAATTATTATTCTTGAATTAATAATTATCGACATTAGTAGTCATAGGTTATCATTTTGTTTTGCCTGTATATATTTGTTTCTTTTAACTCTCAAGTTGATAATTCCCTCCCAAAAAAACTTTAAATCTTTGTTTAAAAAAAAGCCTACATACAAAGCTCAAGTTTTTGGTGAAGTATCTCTTTAATGACATCCTCATCTTTTAAACCTTTTCTCCAAGTCAGCTAGGAGTCGGCTAATATTGCAAAATGAGAGAAAATGTTGTGCTTGAATGCATGACTTCAGAACGAGTACAGCTGAATTCAGCATAGCATCTTCACTCACAACTAAACTGAAGAAAACCATAAATCCTAACCATCACACAGGTTTGCGTTTCAGCAAAGCACAAATGAAGAACGAAAAGAAATGTAAGACTTTCAGTTCCTCCGAGCACAATCTGAAACGCGAATTACAATGCAATGGAAATGAAAAGATTTTGACTGCCTAAATCTCTGAGCTTAAGAATGTCTGGAGCTGTCAACTAATTCACAGTTCTGCTCACCTGGGGGCGAGGGAATCCACCAAGGGGAAGAGAAAGATTTGAACAATTCTGCTAACACCAGCTCCCACCGCTACTCATTAGAGAGGTGCAAACCACTCGGACCTGCCTACTGAAATAACGAACACGAACACACACGAACACACACACACGAACACACACACACACACGAACACACACACACGAACACACACACACACACGAACACACACACACACACGAACACACACACACACACGAACACACACACACACACACACACACACACACACACACACACACACACACACACACACACACACACACACACACACACACACACACACACACACACACACACACAAACAAACAAACAAACAAACAAACAAACAAACAAACACACAAACACACAAACACACACACACACACACACACACACAAAAAGCACAACAAACACTCAACTCCTTTTCTTTGAAAGAGGATCCTGCGCCTGCACAAATCACAGTAACTCCTTAATCCAACAACAGATCCAAGGAAGCCATTGGATTTGTATAAAAAGGTGCCCTGCAAGACGCACAGACTTAAACAAATTCAAATGCTGATCTTAAATGCTATAGTTTATTGTTCTATAGAGATTTCACAGTGTGTGGGCAAGCTAGAATGTGCTGACTGATCAAATAAACATGGAAACGTCTGAAAAACGTCTCTTTGATGGAACTGAAAAACATTTGTACCCTTTTTAAAATATGATTTCATGCGTCGTTTACACCTTTTGTGCTGCCCTGGTGAAAATGTATGTACTGTCTGAAAAAAAAAAATCATTAAACACCTGATTTATAATCATATCACTCCTCAACAGATACTAATATAGCTTCACACATAGTGCAAAGTTGCTAAAAAAAAAAAAAGCTCATCCTTGCATATATAACGGAGTAACTCAAGTATTCTTTGTTGCCTGGTGACAGAGGTAATCCATAAAATAGTCTGTAATCATGACTTCCCACAAATAAACCAGCTAAGCCTTGTTATTTTCATTTTCATGATAACCATAATATCAAAAGTTTACATTATATAGACCAAAGGTCAATTATTCCCTCCATTCCAAATTATCCCAGTAACCCAATTAAAATAACATAAAATATTTGTAAGCAGTTTGAATAATGACAAAAAATACAGTGATGCAACAATCTCATGAGAAACCGAATCTCCTTTGCCAGGTTTCTGAGAGATTCAAGTTTCATTTGTGGCGAATTACTCCGGGCCACTATAACGATCCAAAAGCTCTGACATATTAGATAACTTTGTCCTTTGTCTTGATTTTCCAAAAAAAAAAAAAAAAAAAAAAAAAAAAAAAAAAAGCTCTCAGCGCATCCAGAAACATTTGTAAAATGGCACGTTACAAAGTGTTTTTTATCCATCACCCATTAATTTGATTAGCGTAGATTAATGTTTTTTTCACGCGAAACGAGAGTTAGACTGAAAGTAGAGGCCCAGAGCATTTCACCCAGTGTGCTTTAGCTCAGCACTGCACAGCAGTGGCCATAGCTTGTTATCCAACCTTGTATCCATCTCTTTTCCCCGCTCTCAACACCTCCTCTGCTACTCTCCGTCCTTCCACTCGATTCATCCCTTTATTCCACTCCACTTTCACCTCATCCATTTTTTTCATGCTCGGCTTGGATTGGATGGCGGTTTGTTCTCATAACCATAGAGAAATGTAGCCATTATGACCAGTATTGCACCCAAGAAGAATACGCTGTTATGTGAAAAAAAAATACATGAGTGAAAAAAGACAAAAAAAAAAAAGAAGTAGATTCTTAGTTTAGTTTAGTTTAATTCAAAGGAGTCCTATTAAGCTTTATCACTTTCTAAATTGTAATTACGTTTGGGTCAAAAATATATAATTTCCCTCGCAGCAGCAACCCACTCACGAAAAATACACACTTAGGCTCCGTTTACACCAATACGCCTTAGTTTTAAAATGAAACTAATAATGAAAATGATCCACATCCACATTGGCGTTTCATCTAGCATTTCTGAAAAGCCCTCCTTCCACACTACCGCTGAAAACGCACATCACGTGACCACACACACACTGTCATATGCAGCTCTAGCATATGTGACCTTTCTGAGCTTTAGCACTCAGCAAGTGCTTTAAGCACAAAACAACAGAAAGCAGTCAACGTCGGACAGTTTATTAAGGATGTGCTGCTGGATTGCGTCTCACTATAGTTGTTAAGCATAATATTTAATTGTCTCTATCTAATGACTTTTCAGTCTTTTGAATCTATCAGGTAATGTGTCATAGCGTCAGTAAACTGCTTCAATCTTTCGCTTTCACACTTGTACTTAGTAATTTTAGCAAAAACCTCAGATGCTGTTGGTTGCGCACTTTTTTTACCAACCAAGTTGGTTAACGCCATCATAACTTATCTTTATTTATTTATTTATTTATGATTTGTTTATGGGTAAAACAAAGACCATGTGGGTCAGGTAGTCGAAACAGTAGGCTACAAACAATTTATTTGTTATGAATTATTTATAAATAATAATTCACTGCCGCCTATGTCTAATGTGAAACATTGCGATGGACGATGGCATTGTTGTCATTGTACGATGCCAAATAGGTCGACATCGCCCAACCCTACTACACTCAAAACATTATGTATGTTTATTAAAATGAGCTAAAACACCATTTTTAGTTTTTTGGGGGGCAACAACTAAATTGATTTATGTTCAATCCACTTAAATTAGTCAAAACGAATACATTAACTAAATGCTTTCATGTTGTCCCAACACAAATCGATTGTGTGGAACCCTGCATCTTTTTACAGTGTATGGAAATTTGAATTGTTGATGGGTGGGAAGAGGCAAAATAATCATGTTACCACTCAGACATGTCTTGATATATTCAATTTTGTAAAGGTTTCACAATATAATAATAATAATAATAATAATAATAATATTAAACTATATTGTGATATGTCGATTCTCAAATATGCGTACAAACAAGTTAAACACCTTAATAATGAACATATTAGCTGAATTATGATGGCTGATGAGGTTAGAGCTGCTGGATTTACAACAAGTAAACTCATCAACTTCTCACAAATGACATGAAAGTAAGTGGCTCTTTAAATTGTTTTAACAATAGACTACACACGTTTTAGTTTACTAAACTGTTTTTGATGTAAATGAGACAAGGTTAGATTGTGTAAAATGATTATCAGTGACTTCTCCATAGACATCAGAGTGTATTTTACAAACCATAAATGTTATGCTAGTACAAACAGTAGTCAACATTTGAAGTTGTTCAAAACCTTTCATCAAAGTTGTCCTAAAACAACACCCATTTTTGTCTTATGGCAATTTTAAATCACTTTAAATGTTGACTACTACTGATGTATTCAAATGTCTGCAATAGAAAACAAACATTATTTCATTGAAAACACTAGTAGGCTTTGACCTTTGACAAGTAACAAACTTGTCTTTCTGTGGCTCATCGCCACTCACTGAGAAACAGATCGAACTTGCTGCTTGGACCAGAGATATGGTACTGAAATAGCATCTCTGTTCATCGATCACAATGGACTGGGAGAGCTAACCAATCACATTTTGTTAGGGGCTAGGGTGAAAGCTATTTTAAAAATGTAAATTAAAATTAGGAAAAATGATGCGGTTTTCAAACCACCGAGCATGTGTACATGTTCTATTACATCCTCTAAACAAAATCAACACTTTATAAAAGAGTATAATAGGACCCCTTTAAAATGAACTAAACATTTTAATTCATTTAAAGAACACATTTTTCACAAGAAGGTTTAAAAAAAATAAAAAGTACCTCGTAGGCTCAAAGTCCTCAAGCAAGAAATATGAAATTAATGTGGAGAGGATAATAGAGAGCGATGTAGCAAAGCCTTTCAGTATGTTGTCAGCATACTTGATGACAGCAGCAATTACAAGCCCTCCAAGAGCCTGTGGGGGAAAGAAATCAGTTTACATTGTTGCACATTAATGTGTTGCAGGAGAAAAGCTCTTGCGTTGGATTATTCTTCATTGTGAAACCCCTGTAAATTTCTGGCTCACATGTAAACATTTGTGTTTATACTCACCTGGAGAGCGACCACTATCCAGGTCAGTGTGTTGTAGCCCTGGAACATTCCATGTTCTCGGACTCTGTCACCATCATAAGCCAACATCCCGAAGACACCAAAAACCAGGCCAAACAAGCCTGTGCACAGGAGATGCAATCTGGTTTTTGTTTCATACAAAGAACCACAGCATTCAATATGCTGAGAACTACAGTTGCAGAATTTCACTATTAACTTGGGGACACATTAAGACCAGATATACATTTAAACATCAAAGTTTTAGCGTAACGCATCTTTAATTTTTGGCTAAGCACAGAAGGTGCGGTCTTCTTCTTCCGGTCTGGGAGACTATGGCAGCCCTATGAACTGTTTGCAGCATTTTCGCAAACTTTGACACACTGATGAGGATAGTGTGATCTTCAACCACAACAAATTCTGACTCTCTAACTCAAACTCTCTAGCACTACCACTTGTCTAAAGTTTCACTTATGTTTATCTTTATCATTTTTGAACCCAATAGGCTACAATCTATTTTTTTGGCTCATGAAGATTCAAACTCACCCATATGAATTTTTCTGCCATTACAAATTTTTCCCAAAACCTATTTGTACAAACTCATCCTAGGACGTTTGTCCAATTTTCACCAAAACTGAAATCACATGATCTACAGAGCATGCTTACCAAACGTTTTCGAATAACTTGCAAACAAATCTAACTTAGAGCTTTCGAAAATTGACTTAAGGTGTTATCTCTGTAAGGCAGTAACACATTCACACCAAACTTGGTGTGTGTGATCACAAACATGGCCTGAAGTGAGCTTCAGCATTTTTTGGTGCATCAGTTTGCACAACCTTCTAAGCAAAACTGACAATTAAATTCTATCAATAGAAATCATGCAAAATGGATCAAATAACTTTTGAATAGTTTTGTTTATTGTCATGTGGCTGGTCTTGCAGATTCCTTGAATCATACAGAGAACATTGATATAATTTATTCCCTAATTGACACGACTTCCTGTCCACCATCTTGAATTTGCTTGAAAATCTGCTGTTTTGAACTCTCCATAGATCGTTAGCCCAATTTCCACCAAATTTGGCTCAGACTATGCTGACAAAAATTTTCCAGTTGCTCTGTAGCATTATGCCGTGCTTGTTTATGATGTTGCCGCTGGGCTGCTTTACCCCAATAATTGCTGATTGCAGCTACATTTTTGTATTTTTTTTTTTTCAATTTTTAAGATGCCATTTAATTTTTAAAAATCATACACTTTCTTTCTCCTTCAAGTCAGCAATAAGGCTTTATTTATCTCTTAATAAATATGAAAAAATACACTATGAATACTAAATCCTTCACATATTTGAATGACTATGTTAAAATCTTTACATAATTACACTGCTTATCATTAATGAGAGTTTTTATTTTACCCATAGTCCCATTTGTTTTAACAAGGGTTATATAAGAGATTAAAACACACTTTAAAACACACACTAAAAATGCTTTTCAGGATATTCAATAAATAGAAAGTCTAGTTTGTATTTGATAAAGAAATGGCAGCATATTTATACAAGGAAATAAATAAATGACCTCATTCTGAGAAAATCAAAGACTCAATAACAGTATAAACTCTAATATGATCAAGTTATAGGTTATCAAGTTACGCTGCTACTCGCTGAAGAACAGGGAAGCTTTTTTGGCTCAGTTCTTCCTGACGAACAGAAGTTCACATTAGGAGGTGAATCACTACAGACGCTCAATTCACACATTGACAGTTATAAATAAACCCTGCACTGAGTCTCCACATGGCAAGACTGACACACACACACACACACACACACACACACACACACACGCACGCACGCACGCACACGCACACGCACACACACACTTTTAGCTCCTGAATGTGACCTCAGGCTGTTTTGCTAGAATTCAGCTGAAAGAAATAAAAACAGCTGTCTGAAATGTAAGATTGCCTTAAGAACCAGAGATTATAAAGATGGTAAACAGAGGTTTAGTCTAAAAATAGACTGCGTGTGTCATAGTGATGCGTGTTATCAGGTAATTGTTGCAGGAGAAGTGTCAAAGTGTTAATTTGATCCAAACACCAGCATGTTTATGTTGAGGATGAGCATCACACTTCATGCCCTTCATATGAGGAGGCTTTCATTATACTGAAACCACACTTTATTGAGTGACTACACATGCAAATGCCTCTGCAATAGTGGTTTGCAAATTTACACAGGTAGCCTACAAAGCCTACACATGTGTAGCTGCCCATCATTGTGAAGCAGTTAATTCATGATCAGTGATTCAGTATTTTATCAGGTCTGATTTTTTTAATTTTGGTTATCAATTTTTTTAAAGGGCACCTATAATGAAAATCAACTTTTGTAAGCTGTTTGGGCAAAACTGTGTGTATGTATAGGGTTAGGGTTAAATAATATTTTAATGAGTTAAAAATATATATATGAAAAAAAAGCAAAACATTAATAAAATCCAACAACTTTATCTCAATAATAGCTCAACACAGTGTAGTTTAATAGGCATGGGACGATAACTGGTTTCAAGGTTTACTGTGGTTTAGAAAAGTCAGGGTTTTAAAACAGCCAAAATCCTCTGCTATACCGTTCCTAAGGTATATGTAAAAAAAAATTATTCACAATTTTTATTTTTATTTATTTTTAAAAATCTTTTAGGACAACATTATCTCCAGCAGAAAATATATCCAAAGATGACATTTTAAATAGTACAGAAATCTGTGTTTTTGACAGTAATGAAGACAGCAGAAGCGAATGATTCGAGTTATTTAGCTTGACATGTTTACTGTTCCAAAATATTTTAAATGTTTCTCAAAATAAAACATATCATCTTCAAAGGGGAAAAATATTAAATAGTTTTTTATATTTATTATATTTATAGACATTTTAAAAGAATATATTTTAGAGCAGTGATCACATAAAAACTGAAAACCGAGATATTTTTATGCAAGGTTAACATATCATCAGAATCTTATACCGGCCATTTTCTGTCAGATCACACTTACCAAGCTGGATGTTTCGGACCCAAACACTCTGCTTGGTCTCTTTCAGGATCTTCTCAAAGTAAACGCCAGCAAACCCACTGGAGCAACAGGCCACCAACACAGCCACCAGGCCCACAAACTGAGAGCCAGCTGTCAAATGCTCTTTCTGAGGGTCTGCTGGAGAGTCTGTAGGCCACTGTTCAAACAAACAAATCAGGCATCAAACACTACAGCAAAATTAAGTGTTTCATTGCCAGTCAAAATCAAGCCAAGATACCTGTACAAATGCAACACCAGCCATGAGAATGAGCAGAGACAACCACTGGTAAACCCCAAGTCTGCGGCCCAGCATCGACACAGAAAACAGGGCTGTAGTCAGGATCTTCAACTGGTACGTCACCTTGAAATGCATATAGCACCCAAAAAAGGTTTACATTTAACTGTCTGTGTGTGTGGGGTTTGGGGGGGGGGTACACTTATCACAAGATGAAATTGAAAATATAAATACAGCACTAGAAGAATTTATAAGTCATCAAATCATCCTGTATTGTGCGCACAAGTACCTTAAATTAATGATAGAAAATGACCCATTAAAAGAGCTTAGAAATACTATTTTAATGGAGAACAGAGTTCAGAGGAGCTAATATGCAAAACAATCTCTGATGTTCATAAATGAAGCTCAGCATAAAGAAATTCTCTCAACAGTAGCATATTCAGTATTCAATGAAAATAACCCAGATTAAATAAAATGGCTATAAAAAACAGTCACCAATTGTGATTTATCCACTATTTAAATAATATATTTTGATCAGTGATTTGTAAGGATCACAACCCATGGTTCGGAACTCGCATGGCTCGAGGATTAATAATTTTTTTTTACTGGTAGATTAATCCTAAACTTGTAACGATCACAGAGAGATCGCCTTTCGCGTCATTCAAATAACATGTATGAAAGCATTTGGGCTTTCCTGTAAAATATAATGATGGAAGAAGTTTTGGTTGGGTTATACTGGATGTGGTGGGTTTCATTAAAGGTGTTTTCTGACACTACTTGTTTGACCTGCATCAATGCATTCAGTGTAAGCTGCATGATTAATCATTAAAAGACCGGGATCTTAGCAATCATGCAGCAAATTATAAATGATGGTGATTTAAATATGTTTGTTTATTCTTCCAATCACTGAATTCAAATCAGTTTGAAAAATGCAAAAATCAAGAAAGAGATTCAGTCTTTAGTCTTTTGAGTTAGTCATAAAGTTAGAAACAGTCAAATAACACAGAAGTACTGGGATAACGGTTTATAGTTAAGATAAAACCACTGATTAAGTTAATATAATATTTAAATGTAAATTAATATTTACTCAGTCATCAAAATTATGCCACTGAATAATGACTATAAAAATGACAAATCTTGAAGTTTCAACTGAATCATTAATTGAAAACCAGACTAAAAATAAATATGGGTTGTATAAATATAATGTTAGATTTGTACATTTTACAGTTAACAGTAGTAGTAACAGTGAATTATTCGATAATTTACCATTTACTTTTGTTCAGCTGATTATTTCTTCATTTTATTTTTTAAAAAAATTACAGATTTTAGGTTCTGTTTGTTAAAACCAAGTGTCTTGCAGTACTGTTTTGGTAATAATTGGAAAGCGAATTATATTTGTCTCTTCCTTTTTGGCTGATCCAAAAATGGTCCGATCCACGACTAAAAAAAACAATAATGTGATCCGAACCGTGAGATTTGTGATCAGTTACACCACTAAGTTATGAAGCTGCTTAAAAAGCAGACAATCAGGATTTAAGTTGGTTTGTCAAGACTTTGCCCATGCAGCTTCCCGTTCATTAAATAGTTCTGACAATGCATTTTAACCTTTTGTATATTTTTTAAAAGGTGAATGTTTGTGAATAATAATCATAAAAATCATACAATTATTTCTCGCCATTTTCAATATCCTGAATTTATGTAATTTTATTCTAATTAAGTTTATTCTAATTAAGCAAAGGTCATGTAAAAGATCATGAATATTGATATAATTCACATAGCACTTATTGATGATTACAGGATTATGCTTAGTTTTTCATCTCTATCTACTGCAACCACTCAATAATCCGTAATATTTTTTTGCAAATAAAGCCTAAAGCTTAGGAACATTTCTAAGTGGTAAATAGGAGACAGGATCCAATCATTTTTTGGGGGAATTTCAGGTTAGGTCTTATGGGTGAATATACAAATTGAAATAAATTAGTACAGGATTTCTGCCGGTTTAATCAAGTCAAAATAAAGACTTTTTAAAACCCTTTTAAGATCATTATGAATTAAATTTTAGACTTATACAGGGCTAAACACTAATAATCATTTCTAATAATCCCGTTGGCTGCCACAAAATAAAAAAATAAATAATCTAATGTGCTTATTTTTTAGCAACATATTTTATGTGCCAAAACAGAAAAACTCTAGTTGTATGAACTTTTTTCAACATAATATATTTTTTCTTTTCTTAATGACAAGTTTAACATTATTTATTATGGAGACAATGACAAATAATAAAAAATATAGTTTTGTTGACTTTTGGTCCAAATTGATTGAGTAGTGTATCATGTAAAGTGATACGTTGATCTGTTATCTTTAATACATTTTAAGATTATTTAAAACCCAGCGGCGACCCTGTAGTAAGTAATGTACATTTATATTGTGCATATATTGTGTATGGCCATACACCCAAAGCACTTTACAATTGTGTGAGGGGGGTCCCTCCACACCACCACTAGTTTGCAGCATCCACCTGGATAATGGTGCCAGTGCACTTACCAAACACCAGCTGCAGGTGGAGGAGAGACAGTGAAGAGCCAATTCGGTGGATGGGCATGAGTGGGAGGCCATAATGGGTAAGAGCCAATACAGGGAATTTGGCCAGAACACACCCTTACTCTTTAGAACCATGCAATTTTTAATGTGCCAAGGGATAATAAATAACCACAGAGAGTCAGAACCTCACAGTTTAACGTCTCATCCGAAATATTGCACTCACTGACAGTATAGACAACAAAAATTCGCAAACTGCATTGCAAACTTGTACGCTTGCAACTACACCTCTGAAGCTGTAGTTAGAAGCATAATTCGTGGCTGTGTTCTATTTCAAAATATCCCCCCTTTGCCCTATTAATTTAGAATGCAATGATTTTAAAAACAAAATGAAAAAAAAAATCTTTAAAGTTACTTTAATTCCCTTTCAAAGTATTTTTACCGTTCAGTTTTAGCAATCTTCATAGACAATTGCGTTCCCTTCGTAGTGCACTTTGAAAACATTTATGCCATTTTGAACACAGGCGTGGCTTATGGCGAAAGCTAAAGGTGATTATTTAAAAGCGGAATTTACATTATGTCTCCAAAGCTTGCGAAAAACAAAAGTATATAGCATACTTAATGGTTTTAATTTGCAATTATTATCTGTACTGTATATGACATGGGCCTGTTGGTCAAAAGATTTCTGCAGTGGTTTGAACGTGTCAAATTGTAGAAGTAGACTTTTCAAAACAAAAATAAATAAAATAAATAAATAATAATAAAAAAATAAAACAATATCATACTTAATAATAATAATAATAATAACATCAATAATAATAATAATAATAATAATAATAATAATAATAATAATGAATATTAATAACTATTATTATTTTTAATAAGTAGGATTTTTTTTTATAAATAGCCTAATGTAAATTATGCCTACAACCATTAACAATTTATATGATTTATATATAAGATTAGAATAAATGTTAGCTAAGTGATTTTATATGAAATATTCTTAATAATATTTGTAAAGGAAACATTTGTAGGTCCTATATCTGTCGTTTATATACATTTCAATTAATATGGAAAGCGAGTGCAAGTTTTTACCAAAACTAATATTGGATCTTTTTTAAATGTGTGTGCATGTAAAACAATAATTTGCACAAAAAAATTGTGGGGGTTTTTGCTAAACAAGTAGCTACTCCACTCCGTTTAGAGCAGGGGTGTCAAACTCAATTCCTGGGGGGCCGAAGCCCTGCACAGTTTAGTTCCAACCCTGCTCCAACACACTTACCTGTAGGTTTCAAACAAGCCTGAAGGACTCAATTAGTTAGATCAGGTGTGTTTAATCAGGGTTGGAAGTAAACTGTGCAGAGCTGCGGCCCTATTGGAACTGAGTTTGACACCTGTGGTTTAGAGCGTCATTATAGACATTCTACATTATAACTAACATGGTTCAAACGATGCATCTGCAACAGAAAAACAAGGGTTTTGGGAAACACACGTCACTACATCATTCTTTTCCCAAACAATGCATCATACTATGATAGTTCAGTCACGAGCTATGTCGTTGTTTGGGAAACGCAGGGTGATGTGGCTGGGGCATTATAAACATCAATTAATAATTTTAAATCATCAAATGCTGAGTGCATCCAATCCAAGGCATGTATACAAAATACACATAATGAATTTACACAATACACACACAAATATTATGTAAATACGAACTTTTAGGAAAAAAAACAAACAGGTTTGGAAACACTTGCGGGTGAGTAAACAATGACAGATCTGTCCATGTTTAGGTGAACAATCTCTTCAATTTCATAATTTCCCCAATTACAGCTAAAAATGCCATCCAAACTAAAATTAAAGGGATGTTGCAGCATCGTGATCAAGTCTTGACTAATATTTGATGCAAATTTGATAATAAGGTGTCTCTTGGAAAACAGTCATGGAACAATGGCCAAGTCCAGTCTTTAAACCTAGTATGAGTGTAACATTTTATTTACTATATTACGATAGACAAATAATATTCTCTCCTCATTTTAACTGAACCAGTCATCTCTGACAAATCTAAATCTGTACTTATATAAAAATCAGCTTGTTACAGAGCCACCTATGGTCTGATTGGGGTGTATGCGTGCATTTGAGTAGTGAGGGAGATGTGGGACCATCCTGCAAGTGTTGAAGAGACTTAATTTAGGTGGACCAGATTTTTTTAGATTTTTAATATCAGAGCAAATACCTTTATGTTTAGACCGCTAAATGGCCATAAAATGCTACTAAATGATGAAAATGATCTTACCTGGTAAGTAGCAGCATCAAGGTTGGACAGCGCTACGTAGAGCAGGTTATTCTGTAGTGTGTAGATCCCTGAGGGAATAGCCAGCTTCAGCGTCTCTACAGGTTTGTGTATGATCTCCTGTCTCATAATACTGCTCAGGGCTCGGCCGCTGTAACCTGTGTCACACACACACTGGTTAGCCAATAATAATTTACCAGGGAATTATTAAACAGCCATGCCACCATGATGTAGACTTTATGAGAAAATTATTTAGTTTAATCTGGGTTCAAGAGGGTAGACTGGTTTTACAGGGATAGTTCACCCCAAAAATTTAAACTTAATATTTACTCTCCCTCAAGTCTTTCCTAACCTTTACGCATTTCTTTTTGCTGTTAAACACAGAAGAGGATATTATTAAGAAAGACAAAAACCTGTAACTATTGACCTCCATAATAGGAAAAACAAATACTACGGAAGTCAACGGTTACAGGTTTCCATTATTCTTCAAAACATTTGTTCAAAAGAAAGCTCAAACAGGTGAGGAAATAATGACAGAACAGTCAGTTTTGCATTAACACTTTAAGCAGTTAAATCCCTAATTTCATACATCATTGTTTAGCAGCATATCATCTGACCAGTAAATGCAAACTGGCTACAGTTCAATTGCATTTGAAGTTTGCATGAATACAAACTGTCTGACGACTGATTGAAACTTTGCTACAAGCTGTTGACCATTCTCTAAATTCTTTTAAAACATCAACAAAACACTTCGAGTAAATATTCAAGGTCAAAGGTGACAAAGGTTTGAGAATACCTTCCTCCCTTGAAGAATATGTTGTAACTATTTGTTTACAGAGACATTACATTAAATGTAAAATTTTAGGATTTTATTTATATTAAAAAAACATCTGTTCAACATTAAGGCTACATTTACTCGATTGAGAAAAACAGTGTAGAACACACTGTAAAATTGCTTCAATTTAAAGGTAACTTTTACATAAATATCTATTTTAAAATGCATTTCTTTCTGGTGTTTTTAAAGCTGATGGTTATACTGAAATCCTGAAAATCATCAAATGGTTTTTAAAGAATTTTTATAGAAACTAAAAATTGTCACAAAAACTTTAACAAGTTTAAAACACATTTAAAATATACATTCTATGTTTGTTGAAATAAAAAAAAACATAAATTTACACAATTATAAACAAACCAAGACTTTTTTTTGCAACCAAAACTCAAAACATCTAAAAAAGTAGATGTTAACATTATGCTGAAACATCGGTTTATTTTTTTTTCAAAACTACTAACCACAGAGTTATGGGATCAGAAAAATCTGTAAACATTTTTTTTATTTTAAATGAGGAAAATAAACATGCCTTATGGATGTGACCAGAAATTTAGCAAGTTTATAGTGTACAGTATACTTTGTATAAATTCTGTAAATTAAGCTGCACAACCCAAAAGAAACGATGCTAATCAAAAGGATAAGAGTTTACTCACTATAGAAGAAAAACGATTAATTTTAGTTTTAATTTTTTGCATTTATGAGGAAAAAGCTTGAATATGGATGTGACATCTCTGTTATTAATGTGACCGATGTGAAACTGGTACTTGTGTGACTTTGGTAAATCAAATATAATTGTTTGAAAACACAGACAGGGAAATTTTTTAGTTTTTAATGTACTGTAAAATACTTTCTTCTCACTTTTGGTGATAAAAAAATTTCATGGCACGGATGACATTTGCATGGAATTGTTTGTATAGAGTATTGTTGCTTTTCTGATGATTTAACGTGCTGTACTGTTGTCATTAATTGTGAGTTGATTTTGATAAAAGCATCTAATAAAGGAGTAAAACTAAACACAGTTAGGCCCATAACACCCATACCCAGGAAGCAGAACAAACCTTTCTTCTTTCAGCCTAATAAAACTATTGACTGGGAAACAGTGTGGGACAATACATTCCCTAATTTTTATAGTTTATGTATTTTTAAAATATTCACAGGGCATATTTAACTACACGTATATGACATATCATAAGTTCATCTCCACATCCTTATTGTAAGTTCTGTGAAGCAGACCGTCCAGACACCTTTTTACTTATGATGTGGGAATGTCTGGAGGTGCAAAAACTTTGGGATTCTGTGCTGGACATTTTATTTCAAGTTACAAAAATTTGTTTAGGCGAAGATCCTGTATTGTTATTATATAAGGTTAACTCTCAATTCTAGGCGTCACAGTGGCGCAGGGGGTAGCACGATCACCTCACAGCAAGAAGGTTGCTGGTGCAAGTCCCAGCTGCGTCAGTTGGCATTTCTGTGTGGAGTTTTCATGTTCTCCCCATGTTAATGTGTTTCCTCCAGGTGCTCCAGTTTCCCCCACAGTCCAAAGACATGCAGTACAGGTGAATTTAATAAACTAAATTGTCCGTAGTGCATGTGTGTGAATGAGTGTTTATGGATGTTTGCCAGTGATGGGTTACGACTAGAAGGACATCCACTGCATAAAACATATGCTGGATAAGTTGGTAGACCATTCCACTGTGGCGACTCCTGATTAATAAAGGGACTAAGCCGAAAAAAAATGAATGAATGAACTTTCATTTTCCATTAAATCCAAAGGTCTGTAAAATTTTGGTTAGCCGCTCCAGAGTACAGAGGTGGAAACCCCCTTTATGATCTCTCGGTTAAGCACTGGTTGCATTCACTATTGGAAATACTGTACCTAGAACTGTCATCAGCATGGATCAAACATGCTAAACTGGACATTCGGACAGTGTGGAAATCTATTTATATGACATCAAAGAAATCTTAAGACACTTAAGCCTCATCTAATACAATGAAAGTGAAATGTAATGTTATTTATGTACTTGATTGGTCTAAACTACAGTTTCCTGATGTGCAAATATACGGGGTAATGGTTGTTAAAGCACTTTTCAATCTGATAGTAAAAATTTTATATTTTAATTAAAAAAAAAAAAGAATTACAAAAAAAGAAACTCACTGTTCTCCTTGAAGACGAGCCCCACGCAGGTGAGGATCTTGAGGAACTCTGCCACCACCACAGCAGAGGAGGCCAGGTAACGCGGCCCATCACCCTGAAGGGTGCGCGAGTAACGCATGGTCAGCACCAGGGACGTGGTCTGGAACACCAGAACCCCCAGAGAGAGGTACTTGAGCTTGGCTGATGCCATGATGATGACAGCTTCTCACGAGGAGACCAGGACAGACTGGGGTGACATGAGCCAGAAGAGGGCAAAGAGCAGACAGATGTTGAAATACAATGTTGTCCCAGCTGGGTCTGACAGCCAAGCTGCTCTGTAAACATTAATGGCCATAAACAACACGAGAGCTATATAGAAAAGTAAAGTGTCCTTGAGCAAGAAATTAAACATTGAAACTGCAGTTTGCTAAATTTAGGACTTGAATGCTTGGGACATTTAGGTATGGTTTCACATTCAAAGCCAGGTTTAGGATGTGCAATTGAAGTCAGAATTATTAAACCCTCAGATTTATTAGCCCCTTTGTTTATTTTTTGCCCAATATCTGGGTAACAGAGAGCAGATTTTTTTCAACATTTCTGAGCATAATAGTTAGGTTAATTGAGCAAAGTTATTGTAAAACTATGGTTTGTTCTGTTTAAAGGGGATAATAATTTTGTCCTTAAAATGTTTTTAAAAATATTAAAAACTGCTTTTATTCTAGCCGAAATAAAACAAATAAGACTTTCTTCAGAAGAAAAAATATTATGAGACATACTGCGAAAATTTCCTTGCTCTGTTAAACATCATTTGGCAAATATTTAAAAAAGGAAAAAAATCAAAGGTGGCTAAAAATTCTGATTTCAACTATATATAGGATAATAGGGTATATGCCGAGCTAGTGGTGTTCCCATACTGATAAACTTCAGGTGACCTGCTATTGTGAGTTTTTTCCATTTTATATGGTTCCTTTTAGAGCATCGATGTTGTAATGTAATTAAAATACAATCAGTTAAATAGACTTTGGCATGAAGGCAGTTGTAATTATTGCTGCCATTTATAATAGATGAGGACCAGCAAGACAAGTAAGAGCTATTTAAGTGAACTTGTTTATTCAACAAGCTGTGGATGATGTAAATGCTTATAGAAAAATAAAGTTTCACACAAAAGTAGTAATAAGAAAGAAAACAACGTTTTCACAAAAAAAAAATTAACCGAGTTTAACAGACATAAGGAGGACAAAGGGAACGAGACTGTGCCAAACAAAAGAAAAGACTAAAACAAAAATCAACTAATTAACCTAATTAACTCTTCCCCTAGAACTACAAAATAAAAATAAAAAATTAACCTTTAACATCCGAGACGTCGTATCTTACCCATTCTCTCCTCTCAAAGCAAAACTTACAAGTGTGGCACAAATCCATAACGTAGTGTGTAAAACTAAAAGAATGCTGCATGAGCAGCATGTATATCACAGGAAAAAGCTTACCCATTCCCTTCCCTCCATCTACATCAGAGATGCCCAAAGTAAGGCCCGCAGGCCACAGTTAGCCCATTGTAACCTTTAATTTGACCCACCATGCCAACTAAGAGGAGAGTGCGAATAATGGAGGGGATTGGTGCGAATGCCTTTTACACAGAGATTGTCATTTCTAATCTGACGTAAACTTTTTTTGTTAGTATTATTGCTAAGCTACAAAAAAGCAAACGGAAATTAAATATTACAATCAATGATGTAAATTAAATTAGATTTTTTAAAATGTAAATACTGTCAATCAACAGATAAAGGACTATGCAGAAAAAAATCAAGACAAAAACTAAAGTAATTCTGTCATAATGAAAATGTTTGGTTTTTACTGTAACAAGTTCATTACAAAATGTGGAAAAAAGCACTGTATTGGTTAATACAACACAATTTTTTTAGTCATTTTTAAACCCATAGCAATTTACCTTTGGCCCACTAGCCTCGATCAAGTTTGCTTTTTGGCCATTCATAATAAAAAGTCTGGGCATCCCTGATCTAGAATAAACACAGACATGATGTTCACACTCCAGTTCTCAAGAGTTTGAAACTAAAATGTATAAATGTGTCATAAAAAAAGAATCGTTGCAGGCCTTCTTGAAGAAAAAACAAAACAATTATTACTTTTTTTTTAAATTGATTGTGATATGTCAGTCAGTGCACAATTGAAATGGCTCAGATTCACATTTTTGTCTGAAATTAGGCTTAAATTGGGTCCTGGGGATAGAGAAGATTCAGCTTAAAAAAAAAAAAAAGGAAAAGTGTGTAATCATTTAGGTCAGAGGTGTCCAAAACTAGGTCCTGGAGGGCCGGTGTCCTGAAGAGTTTAGCTCCAACCCTAATCAAACACACCTGAACCAGCTAATCAAGCTCTTACCAGATATACTAGAAACCTCCTGGCAGGTGTGTTGAGGAAAGTTTTTTAGCTAAACTCAGCAGGACACTGGCCCTCCAGGACCGAATTTAGACACCACTGATTTAGTTGAATTGCCATCAAAACACAAAAGAAAATTGGTCAGAATTACATTTTTGATCCCCACTAACGTTACTTGTTTTACCTAACAGTTAAAGTGGTAACTAGTGGTAACTAGTGGTAAATATCACTTCTGTGTGAGCTCAATTGAATAGAGAATATAAAGTCAAAAAGATGAGAGAAATCATCTGTAAAGTGTATATCCGCATTTAGAAGTGAAGAAATATACGTACACGCCTAAAATAGTCAACCCAAATGTCTATATTTTATCGTAAAACACACTTAAGTTACATTGTCAGAAGAATTACGGCCCCAATCAGTTTTCAATTGATCAAGTTTTTAAACTCACCTTTCCTGAAGATCCGGAAGAGTTGTAACGTTAAATTAGTTTGTGAAAAGGAGTTTGAAGGCGAAGATAAACTTCAAAACCATTTCAAAGATGTGTTCTTGTTGAAGAGTACGTCTTAAATTGAATTGCCATACAGTGTGGTAAATAGTTGAGCAGTGCCTTGTTGACAGTTTAACACGAGAGCTACTGCAGCTAAGCTATTTCTTGAGAGAATCGACTGTTCCGGGTGTTCATTGCGCATGATCATCTGCTATACGTCGCTCCCATGGCGGATTCCCTCGTCCATCATGAATGAAAAACAAACTGTCAAGTGAAGTGCAGAAAATCTTCACTTGAATCTCAACAGTCTTGCGGTACTTCCTAGTGTTTGTTGCTGTTGCGATCCTCATCATGTGCTGTTGTCGCCACCTGTTGGTCGGCGGACAGAATGAGGATCAGTTTGTGTCGGGAGTAGAACAGAATCCTCATGAAGAGCGTAACGTTGGAGAGTTATTCATCTTTGCACGTATTACTTTTTTGTTGCAGTTTTGAGAACCAAATTTGCTCAAAATCCGTTGTTTTTTTTTCTTTTAAAAAAAGTATAGTGACTAGATTTTGTGAAGGTTGAACAAGACTTGTTCATTTCAAATCTAAAAAAATGATGACAAACTATTGCATGTTGTTTTAAAATTACTGTTTTAAGTGTCAGACAGATAGACGGACAGACATATTAATTGACAGATCAGACAGGCCAATAGAGAGATAAATAGATCAGACAGACAGATACATAGATAGATCAGACAGATCAAACAAACAGACAGATAAGACAGCCCAATAGACAGGCAGATATAGATCAGACAGATAAACAGCCAAATAGAGAGACAGACAGACAGACAGACAGACAAACAGCCAGATAAATAGATAGATTTAGACAGATAGACCAATAGATAGATGAGACAAACAGCCAGATAGATAGATGACAGACAGACAGACAAATAGACACAGACAGATAGACAGACAGACAGACAAACATGTAGGCAGGCAGGCAGTCAGACAGACAGACACAAACAAACAGCCAAATAAATATAGATATAGACAGATAGACAGACAGACCAATAGATATATCAGACAAACAGCCAGATAGATAGATGACAGACAGACAGACAAATAGACACGGAAAGATAGATCAGACAGCCAGATATATAGATAGACAGACAGGCAGATAGACAGACAGACAAATATAGATCAGACAAACAGCCAGATAGATAGATGACAGACAAATAGACACAGATAGATCAGACAGCCAGATAGATAGATCAAACAGACAGTTGGATCAGATAGACACACAGGCACAGACAGAAAGACAGATAGATCAGACAGACAGAACGCCAGATAAATAGATCAGACAGAGGGACACAGACCGACAGGTAGATAGATCAGACAGACACACAGACAGAAAGATAGATAGACAGACAGACAGATAGATCAGACAGACAGATAAATAGATCAGATAGATATAGACAGACAGACAGACAGACAGACAGACAGACAGACAGACAGACAGACAGATAGATAGATAGATAGATAGATAGATAGACAGAGAGACACAGATAGATCAGACAGACAGCCAGATAGATCAGATAGATCAGACAGACCGATAAACAGACAGATCAGATAGATCAGACAGCCAGATAAATAGATCAGACAGATAGATCAGACAGACTGATGGATCAGACAGACAGAACGGCAGATAAATAAATCAGACCGATAGACAGCCAGACCGACAGATAGATCAGACAGACAGACGGACAGATAGATAAATCAGACAGACTGATAAACAGATCAGAACAACTGATAGATCAGACACACAGATAGATCAGACATACAGACAGACAGATCAGACAGAAAGTCTGATAGATGGACAGACCGATAGATCAGACAAATAGATCAAACAGAACACCAGATAAATAGATCACATAGACAGACCAACAGATGGGTAGATAAATCAGACAGACAGCCAGATAGAGATTAGACAGACACACAAAAAAATAAAAATAAATAGACCAGACAGCGAGATAGATCAGAAAGACAGATCAAACAGCCAGAGAGATGGATGGATGGATGGATTAGACATATAGATCAGACAGACAGATATGAGAGTGAATGTCGATCAAGGGACTGGATGTTTAATGGTGTTTTTTTAAGTGAAACAGCTGTAAAAAGGACTCATTTCACCATATCAATTTGTAAAGGTTTTCCTTTATTGTGTTCCATCTCTATTTTAATCAATTGTCTTGGATTTTTCCAATACACAGGCGTTTGTTCTCAAAATCACAAATTTAAAATCAACAAAATACTAAGACGAAACATTTACTTCATTCTAGCATACTGTATGCATATGTTTGGTGAACATGAAAATAAAGTACAATGGCATAAAAAAACCCAAATCATAGAATTATATACAGCACATATAAAAATAGCTTTGCATAACATTTGGGTGAAAGTACGATACGCCAAAAGCTTTTCTTTGATCTCTATTTGGTACACTAAAGATCATACTGCTGAAGGGCCCTTAAGTGCTACAGGATATTAACCAATAAAAACAATACGCCATTTGGAGCCTATAGGACATAAAGGGTTCTGTTTGCATAAGAAGACTCTTAATATTGACCTTGAGTACAAACAATTTGACTGACCCACCCATCTGAACAAATACCTCATACAGGGAGTTCATAAGACTATTTTATCGCCACTCTGGTTAACCGATGCATGCATTTCTAAATACTATTATGAGTGTTTATTTGGTGTTTAAGAGACCCATGGGTTTATTGTGCAAAACACAGTTGAAAAATGTGATTGTACTAAACAGGTTTATAAAGCTTTGCTCAAAAACACAAGACAGAAAAAAGTCAAACAGTACATTTAAATGTATAAAGTATGATTTCTTAATTAACGAGTGATTCAAGCGGTTGCACAGACAAGCTGATTGTATTGAAGATAACACATGGCATGTAAATAAAATAACTAGCTAAACCGCTCAGAATATTAATATACAGTAACACAACAAAGGCAGAACAATAAAATAGTAACAATGGTTACAAATGCATTGTAAAAGGCACTGATAATATAATTTGTGGAAAACATTTGCTTTTCTGCTTCGGCTTGACGACGGCTGCTGGAATTCCTCTTCAAACCTCTGTCATGTTTGTGCGGCCACTGAATACTGCAAACCATTTCAACAGAAACAAAGAGGAGCCCATTCATATTTACACACCGCCTTTACCTCACTAGCAAAGCAGAGGTGAAACCGTAACAGACAACATGGAAACACATAAAACAAAGAGTAATATTTTAACTATGTACACCACAGTTTAGCTCTCTGAACCACACATGAATGAATGAGATGTATGCGGGCACGAGTGTGAATCACCAATCACGTGCACAAATAAGTACCAAATCATTTAAGAAACATTTCATCACTACAAAAAAAAGATGCAGGTTGATCTATACAAAAAACCCCAGCAAACAATTTTGATTAATAGACGTCTAATAGACATCTAAACGTAGACAGCTTGGCTGAACTTGGGCTGTCAGTGAAAATAGACATCTAAAAATAGCCCAAAACTACACTGTAAAAAATGCAGGGTTCCTCACAATTCTTTTATGTTGTTCCAGCACAAATTGATTAAGTTAACCTAATACTTTTAACAAATTTATGTGGATTGAACATAAAAATATTAGGTTGTCCCAATGAAATCTCAAGAATTGTGTTGATTCAGCTCATTTTAAATAAGTAGTTTGAACGAGTTTTTTTTTTGAGTGTACACTAGTCGTCAAATAGACAGATTAGGAAGACTTGATAAGTGTAGCTATTCATGTGTAGTCTAGATTGGGTCTATTTTCTGACGTCTATTAGATTTTCACTGTCAGCCCAAATTTAGCCTTGTTTTAGCCAAGACGACTATGTTTAGACATCTATTAGACATCTATTAAAAACAAAAACTGCTTGCTGGGACAAAACACATGAAAGCTGACCCAATACATAAAAAAGATGAATTAAATAATCAAAGATTAGTTCTCGCAAAATTAAAGATCTTTATTTACGCATCTTCGTCTGCTTTCAAACTTACAATATGACTTTTTTTTCATCTGTGGAGGATGTTTTGAAGAAAATATTCTTTTCATTATACACTAGACCTTAATGGAGTCTTGTTTTTTTAGTCCCACAGATGAAAGTCATGCATGTTTGGAATGATTTGAAAATGATTAAATAAAGAATATTTCAATTTTTGAGTGAACTATTCCTGTAACTTGATGATGTTTGCCTTCAACACCAACAAAAAAATGACATATTAAAAGTTCCTTCAAGGTTTGACTTAAATTTGAAATTTTCAGTACCCCCAAAATGAGACTCCTTACTTTTGGCAGTGTGATCGTTCAATGGTAACATTGCCTCAGATCGCAGATGGCTGTAAACAGGAATCCCGAATGGTTTTGTCCTTTGGAATAAAATATTGGGGCTGTTGGGAATTTACAATATGTAATAACTTCACAGTCAACATGCAGAGCGTAATAAAGACATAAAGAGTGGAGGATAAGATGGTTTGCTGCTGAAGAGAGAGAATCAATACACTCTCAAAGGTCTGAGTTTTTATGCGTACACACTGCTGCGCTGGGACTGCTGGGACTGTGTTGGCTGCGCGGCCTGTGATGGGGGCTGCAGCTGGGCCTGTTCGGGAATGTGTGTGTGGCAGGAAGGTGGCATTGTGTGTGGGTTTCCTAGAGGTGTGGGGCTTGTGGTGACATCGGACCAGTCTGAGTTGGAGTGTGGGGACGAGGAGGACCAGGGGTCGGGTGACTCTGGTGAAGGGGTGAGGTAGGGGTGTTCGCTGGGTTTTTGTGCTGGATGTCCAGGGGTGGTTCCCTCAGAGCCGGCAGTGGCGTAGCTGTGCTGGGAAGGTGGCGTGGGGTACTTATCCACAGGGCTCTGACGTGGCTGATAGGACACCACCTGCCGTGCTTGGCCATCAGGCAGCCCATGCTGGAGTGTGTGGTTGTGAGCATGAGAAGGGTGCTGAAGGGCGTGAGATAGGCTGTGCTGCATGCTCACGTCAGGAATGGGGTACATCATACCCTGGCTGCAGTGTAGATGCTGAGCCTGTGGCTGATTTTGCCCTTGGGCCTGCATCTGCCCCTGTTGTGGCTGCTTGAGGAGGCTCTGCCCGCTGCCGGTCGGCATCATCTGGAAGGTGACAATTGGCGGGAGTTGTTCACGGCTCATGGTGACGTTCATTGGGGCGGACATGCCTGGGCTGTGGTGCTGCTGCATGCCACTATGGCCTGCACTCATTTGGTGGTGTGGCATGAGGCTAAACATGTGGCCATTGTAGCTGTGTTTAGACAAACCCACCCAGCTTTGCTGCTGG